AAAAATAAAAATATTATTTTAACATAAAGAAATTCAAATTAACTATGTAACTTTAAAAGTTATTAATTAAAATATCTAATTAAAAACCTCTTATAAGCAGTGTTTATAGATAAATATCTTATTTTAAAATAATATCAGAGTATTTTTAGTTGAGATGAATCATTAGAAAGTAAATGATAAAGAATATTTATAATAAGTAATCAAAATTTATTCTTAAAAAGAGTAGATTATTTATGTAATTTATAATGCAGTAGTATTAATCACTTTTTCAATAATTCTCTTTGATCTTTATTTTGAATAACAATTTTACTTTATTAATTGTAATTGAAAATAATATAGTAATTTTAAGTTAAAATTCAAATATTAAAAATTATAATACTACATTTTTCATTTCCTTTATCACATTAAATAGTTAGAAGACTATTCAAATATAATTTAAATAAAATATATTTTTTAACATTCAATTTGTTTGCATTTGAAAACATTCATGCAATTCAAAGTTCTCACAAATTCTAAATAATAGACCTTAAAATTTATAGAGGATATAATCGTATGAGATAGGAGATTTCTTAAAAGGATAAATCAAATTACTTTTTATTAGTCAATAGAGCTTTTGATATTGAAAATAAATAAAGCATAAACTATAAAATTTTCTTAAATATTTCATTTATTCAAGCCTGCATAATTAAATATGCATAAAATTAATAAAGTAATTGATGTGATTGGTGATGTTTGAATTAAATTGTTACCTAACTAGGATAAATAAATCATAACTCCTGAAATATCATTTCTAAATTGTATTTGTTTGCTAAATAGCGATCTAATTTATTAATCATAAAATAGGAAATATAGCTTACAGAATCTATATGATTGAATGAAATAGAAAATTATTTATTAAAATTGAAAATAAGGGAAAATATCCATAAATAATTTAACATTATTTTCATTAGAATGTTTTTATAATATAAATTTGATTGATTCTTTTATGTCAATTTACATATGATGTTGATGTTCTTATTACCTTACTCAGGAATTTTGATTGATATCAAACTCCGTTTAGCCTAATTTTTGAATAGTCTTAAAAGAAAAAAACTAGAGATTGTGCTTAGTAATATTTATGGTTTCTGATTCCAACCATAATTTTAGCTCTAATTTTTGAAATATTAAAATTATCATGGCTTCCTTCAAAATTATATACCCATTTACTCTCATTCACTTTATAATTTTACTTCTATATTGGATATTTATTTGGCTATTATAAAAAATTTGAATGAGGAATATCAGGAGTAGGATTTGACATCATATTAACTCAAATATTCAACATGTTAGGAATATCCTGTAAAAATTATAGCATCTATTTTTTAGTATTAATTTAATTGACAGAATACAAAAAAACTATTTTTAAGGAATCAAAATTACCTGATTTCCCAAAAATCAAGAAATTAGGTTTACGAAATTGCAAGACTTCATATATTGTAGAAATTTAATATTAGTGTATTTATAATTTATAACCTAAAAGTTTGAAAACCCCATCAGTAAAGTCTCATTCAGCACTTTAACCAGTCTCTGGTACATTGTATAGTAATATTCTTTAAAGATAGCCAAAAAGTTTAAGTGAGGGCTTAAATAGGATTTGGAGATATTAAAAGAGCCAAATAATATGTTGCTGTTGGAATCTTGATTTCAGTATTAATATGTGCTTTATGTGGGTATTTTAATATGGATTTATTGATTATTTACAGCAGAAAGAGGAAAGGATTAATAAGCAGATAAAACAAAAGAAGTATTGAAACCATTCCTTGGGTTTTTTTAATTGTAGATGGATTTTAAGGAACTTTAAGTGGAGCATTAAAAGAAATGTTAAGTAGATTTAGTTTAGGTATGAGATTATAACTATTTTAGTATTAAAACATATTTGCATATTTATATTGTTATGTTCCTATTGACTTCTTTTCAAGCGTACGATTGGGGATTTGGAAATGATACTAAAAGAATTTGGAAAGGATTTGGTTATCAAACTTAATATTGACATCACTTTTTATATTGAGTTTAATTTTACAGATTAGAATAGAGGAGTTTGTTATTTTTAGTTCGGTATATTACAATTCATTACAAATATTATTTAGTTCCACTTTATCATGTCCCTTGATCAAATATAATTCTTATTTCATGATAGAATTTGATAATAAATAAATTAATTAATTTAGATCATTTTATTGAACATATTTAAATTGTAAAATTCTCCCTCCTTTTTATATTTACTACAGATCAATCCTACTAATTTTACACTGCACCCAATAATATAATGAACCACTTCATCAAATAATTTCAATAAGTCCAATAACCATAGTTCTAGTATTAAGGAGCTAAATTGATAACATAATTAAATCTATTCAAGTTAAACCCTTTACTTAGAAGTTTCTTCTAAAAATAAAAACATTAAAATTTTCTAAAAACCTTATGATTAAAATGAAGAGGATTAAATTATGATTATAAGCTTGGAGAATAAGAACCAAGTTCAAGAAAAAAAAGTATGAGATCATTAGGAAGAAAATATTTGAATATTAGTAAATTTTCAAAATTTTATTTCTTTATATCAAAATCTTTGACTTTAGTTTGCATAAAATAATTTGGTTATGCAGGGTTTTGATTTATAAGCATGCTTAAAAGTTTGTGATCAACTTTAATATCTTAATTGTATATTTTTCTCACTTAATAATATATAAACATTGATAAGTATTTCTTCTGAGTTTACACTAATAAATTATTAATTTTTAAGACATGCCAATCTGGATCTTAAAGTCTTTAATGATTAATTTGATTAATGACAGCAGCACAAATCTATCGAATAAGTATTAAGACAATTCTTCAGACATATTCAAATTTTCAAATATTGAATTTTCTAAGGTAAGCAGCTGTTTCTAATTATCTAATCAATTATTCTATCTCTACAATTTAAAAAAACGTCTAGAAGTTATTTATCAATTTATCCACTAATTGATCAGCTCCCCTATTCCTGGCAATTAAAATAGTAATTCTCTTTATTTCGAGATATGTCATTGTAAAATAAATTAAAATTATTCTAGTACCTATTAGGTCCAAATCGAATATCTTTTTTCAATAAAGGATCTAATAACTGTCTTATTTGTCTTTAGACAATTTGTTATTCTTGCCATTCATCGGAATCAAAAACAAGAGATAATTTATATTTACATTATAAAATATATATCTATAGTTTTCAATTTTGTTACCTAAATAGCGTATTGGGTATTCAGTCAAAATCTTTAAAAGTTTATCAAGAATATAAAATAAATACTCACTGCTATGTTCTTCTTGAAGAATATTGAATTCAATTAATCTTTCAACTATAAGAAGGCCATAGATTCTATTGAATTTAATATCATGAATTCCAAATCTTAGAGATTTATTAGAGAATTCAATCTTTCTGGGTTATTTCTTTTTTTAAAATGTAAATCTATTGTAATAGTATTAAACAAGTTTGAATTGCAGACTCTTTAAAGTGAAATAAATAATAATAGGTGTATATACTACTTATAAGGGCCTTTTGAATTTTTTTCTTTAAAATTTTGAATCCTCTAAGCACACAGATTGTAAATGATCAAAATAGGTTTGGAAGATTCCTCTTTGATTGGTTAAAGCTAGAGCTTTTCTCTATTTAAAACGAGTCAATTAATTATTT